TTTCTATAAAGTTGGGCAGTTCCAACTTTGCAAGGACAGTCTGGCGCTTCTGACTCACAGCCTGTAAGTACGTTTTTTATATTTAAATAATTTGCCAATGATGATTCAAACATGAGTTTTGAGCAGTGTAGAGTAGGCTTGTTGTTCCTCCGATCACAAATGCAGACTTGGTTTTATGTTTATGCGGTGCGATGCAACGCAACGCGTAAAAAGACAGTATAAGTCATTATAATCAGTAATTATGTCCCCACTGAATACTACAAGTGCCTCGTTTGTAATGGGTTTTATTGGTTTTGTCTCGTCTAGTGATGTCCGGATCGCGAACGAATCGTTCTATTTAACCAGATCTTCTTAGTGAACCGGTGGAACCAGTTCACCAAATCGAACGGAATCGTTTGAAACTGTTCGCGTCTCCAGTACGCACTAATCCACAAATTACTTAAGTTATTCGGTTCTTATTATTGTTCATGATTTATGAGAATATAACGTTAAAAGTAGCAGAACTTTTCTTTGGGTGTTTGTTACGGGGAGGGAGCGTTATCAGTGGAACACCTTTGGGGTTTCCCCTCGTGTGCATGCGATAGCACTGATCTATAATAGAGAACTGCCCTGCGTCCCAATGTTCATACTATCCATCCTAAATAATATGTGAGATTAAAATAAGTGTGTCCCAAAGCATAGTATGTTGAAAAGAGTATACCAGAAGTATAAACTTCAAAGTTTTTTTTCCTATTTCATACAGATCATTCATGAGACAGATGGATATGTGGCACACTACCACATACACGGCAAAGAGACAGCAACTCCCGTGGGGCCTTTGTCTCAGAAGTAACTAAAAATCAAGTTCAAGTTCGGTTTATTTCTAAAGCACATTTAAAAATGGCCACAGCCCAAACAAAGTGCTGTATAACAAAAGAATAAGAGTAATGACTGAACAAAAAAAGAAAAGTAAAACAGGAGTAAATCAAAGTATATATAATACAGTTTATATAATGTTGACAAAACATGATCCTTATGTATACTGTTTACATATAAAAAGATACACATCTACCAATTCTCCAGCATTGATGAGCAGACCATGTTTAAAAAGATCACAAGTTTATAACTATTATAAAACATAATTATCATTGATCACACGAAACACCTAAGTATCCTTAACTTAAACAAAATCGCCTCAGAACCGCATTGTCTGTTCATTCATTCATTTATAATTTGCAGAATGCATCTTGAATGTGGAGCATGTAGAGTTTTCTTCATCAGCCACAGGAGTAAAAGCTCTCAGGATGGGATGGCAATAGCCACTTCCCTCCTAAAAAACACAGACAATTATAGACTGATTGAAAGATTTCTTACCTATTACCTGTGAACATGTATTTAAAGGGGTCATGACATGAGAAACCAAATTTCCCTTGATCTTTTGACACAGAAGAGGTCTTTGTATGCTTAATACATGCAAGTTTCATAACTTAAAATGTCCTCATCATCAATAAAAAAGCATTTATGTAATAACCCTCAGAAAATAGCTCGTTTTGGATCAGAGGGACAAGGAGACATCACCTAGGCACAGTCGTTTGCATATGACCTCGTCCAGAGCAAGACAACTACGCCTATTTTTGCATCATCACATCGTTGTCACGCCCACAGGTGTTCAGTTGATGTGCAGCGAGTGGGTCTGAAGGAGTGGTTGTTTACAATTAGATTGGGATTCCAGGCAGATGATGTACCGTTCAGATTTTAAGTACCAATTCTGCTTAAAAAGATGCAATCTAATCCTGTTTACATGAAATAAGCTGCTCCCGAGCTCACGGACCTGTTGCTATGACAGCAACTCCATGATGAGCTTCGAAGAACCAAACAATCCAAGATCATGCCAGATTGTCAACAATCAAATTCAGCTAACTGAGTTAGCGACGTACGAAGAACGGGCCCCTGGCTGTGGAAAAACAACATGTTTGTATACACTGCCAAAGAATTCCAACGTCAGAGAAAAATGGATTCAGTTTATTTTTAGTGAACGTCCCAGTCACATCTGCTAATTTACGAGTGTGTTTAGTACCTTTCACCAAATCGCAGTATGATGCTGGCTTTGCCAAAATAGTTTTGCTAAAAGATCGGGGCGTGCCAACTGTTCTGGACCCAACATTGATGCCGCAAACTGTAAGTAATATATTTCATGTAAAAACTATTTTTAAAACGGTAACGGCAGTTAATAACGGATGTTAGCCAATCATAAAATTAGGCGGTTACACTGACCTCTTAAAGAGAAAACACCCCAAAACCCACTGTTTCTGTCAGAGGATGAGAAACGAGGTGGAAAAAGGTCATAAATCACTAAATTTGAATGATTTTTGTCCAAAAAAACACCTCAGGGAACACAATAAAAAAAATCATGTCATGACCCCTTTAAAGTAAATGTATTGTTTAACATCACACTTTTATGCATTTTCTACCCTAAAATCCCTGTTGACTAAATGACCTGAAGGACCTGTACTATTTCTGTGGGGAAAAGGAAAATGGAACTGACTGGGTAAGCATACTGGGAAAGTAGACTTAGACTGTAAATACTTAATTTTAGTGTTCAATGTTTAGTGTCATTTTCTAGTTGTTATTCAGTTATATAGAAGGCAAAGAGATTGTTTTTGTTCTGTATTTTTTTCTATAGTTTTTCTTGTAAATTCTTAAAAGGATTGTTCAACAAAAATTACAATTCTGTTATTTACTATTCCTCATGTTGTTCCAAAGAACTTTTGTTTATCATGAAAAGCAAATTGGTATATTTTTAATGAAACCTGAGATTTCTGTCCCTTTACTGACAGTCCAGATAAACAAAACTTTCAAGATCCAAAAAGGTAAAAAAAATGTATCCATATGAATCAAGCCATTTAATCCAAGTCTTCTGAAGTGACATGTTCACTTTAGGATGGAGAGAATTAATTTAGCCATAATAAACATTGATTAAAACACGGAAGTGTTTGTGTCTGTGCGTGGCACACGAGAACCAATGAGGTTTGTTCTAGCACCTCCCGCAGACACGTGAGAGTTTTTCATTTACATGTGTATGTGACGCCTCGGTTGTTGGTCACAGGCTTTTCAATCTTACGCAAACACACTGAGAAACCATAAACCCCAAATCCAGCATACAGAGATTCAGTGAATGTGGAGGTGAATGTGTGTAAATGCGTGAGTGTGTGTGTGTTAGAGACGCTGTAGAAAGACAAACTGCCAGCCAACCTGTCCAAATATACGCCGACTATCTTAGAGGAACGTAAGGGGACATGTATGTCAGTTGAATTATTATTGTGACGGGCAATGAATCTATTATCAGAGCAGATCAGACTCCAGGAGTTTTTATTTCGTCCAAACCAACAGTCATGACTCTGTCCTTTCCTGCTGATTCCTTTATATGTCACTGATATAACAGAATGTCCCCTCCATTCAGCCTCCCAGTAAGAGCGTCCAGACAGACTCTCTCTAGAAAGAACCTGATGGCATATATCAAATCTTTCTGGATGATCGAGAAATGACTGTTCCTCATCCACACGTGTCACCTTTCTGTTCCCCTCAGACAGAATGAGACAAGTGTTTGCTGTGTTTGGATCCAGTGTGAGAAAACAGGCATCTGAACACAAGAAGAGAGAACATTTAGAACACACCACAACAGCAGTCACTAAAGGAGTACATTTGCAGACGTACATTTGTGTAGACCTGCTGTAATCCTGAACTCTCCTCCATGATCCACACTATAAAACACACACAGTGTTCACATTCTGCACATCAGATATAAGTAAACACACAGCAGTGTAACTCTTCCTGGTCAACATACTTGAGTTTGTCCAGTGTGCAGTGTGGATCCTCCAGTTTTTCAGAGAGCAGTTTGACTCCTGAATCTCCTGGGCGATTGTAGCTCAGATCCAGCTCTCTCAAGTGTGAGGGGTTTGAACTCAGAGCTGAAGACACATAACGACAGCCTTTCTCTGTCACCATACAGCCTGATAATCTACAAACACACAACAACAGTCCACATCACATTAGTTTGACAATCAAAAGTATTTAAAATACTTGTATATCTGTATGTTACGTTGTGATCTTTGAGTTAAGCTCATATGAAAAATGGGGGCAAAAACAAAAGTGTTGCGTTTATAATTTTGTTCAGTGTATTTCTTTTTTTTTCTTTCCCCGAGTGTTTCTTATTTTTTATTTTCACTTTCCTAGTTACATCCCATTGGCCCACGTCGTACACCTTATGCCCGTGTTCCTGTGACATCATTGACCAGCTCTCCAATCTGATCGTGCCCCCGTGGCATAAAAGTGGAGAGTAAATGTCACTAGCGAGGCCCTATTCTGTGTGTAATAGTGAATCTGTGTATCCCGTGTGTTTAGTAATTGTATGTATCCGGCATACTTATATTTCAGAAATATTTTAAGCAAATTGCTAATCACAGGATATTTACATAGAACATATACATGCAACGAACACAGTGATCTATTTAAAATAAACTTTAGGGTTGTGCTCAAATAAGTGGAGTACAGAGACAGTAAATGCTTTCAAGCTTGCTGCACATTCACATTTATACACAGTAGGCAGTCAACCAAAATGCCAATTACCGCTGCCGCAAGGCCACGGCGTTAAAAAAAACCAAGTCACATGTGAAACTGGTTTGCGAAATCACCACCAGGTGGCGCAAACGGTCGGTTGAAAGCATTGTTCAATAAAGCTGGAATTGTGACATTTTCACTTGTAAATAAAAATAAGACAAAAAATATAAAGATAAAAATAATGAAATAAATCGTTGATAAAATTACAATAATAAGCATTGTACCATTTAATCTTGAATTATTCATCATATAAATGTTTCATGTTCCAGCCATGTGACAACTTTTATGGTGAAATATTACAGTGACGGTAGTGCTTGAAGTGTGCTTACTTTTTACTCTACAGTACCAGTCAGTATTTTAGATCAGCTCTTTTAAAATGTATTACATTTAAAGAGGTGTCCATTATGCCATAAAAATATAAAATGATAGAAAAGGTAGATTATTGTTATTAGGAAGATTATGAGTGATGTAGGCCTAGTTCTAACACATATTTTTGCACCATTGTCACATTAATATCACAAATGAAAGATCTGAAACATACATTTAATAATTCGCTGATGCATTCAGCAGGTCACGTACTTATTCTTTATCTATCTTTTTTTTTTTGACACATCTATTTCCCGTATACAGAGAGCCCTGCTCATGACATGGCGAAAATTATAATGTACATGAATTAAGAAATGATCACTTTTTTATTAAATTATTCCTTTGTGTTTAAATTAGTGGTGTCAAAATTAGCGCGTTAACGCAGGCGATTAATTTTCAGTTTAACGCATTAAAAATATTTAAAGGGGTCATATGATGCTTTTTTAAAGATCATTATTTTGTGTATTTGGTGTAACAGAATATGTTGACATGCTTTAATGTTCAAAAAACACATTATTTTTCAAATACTGTACATTATTGTACGTCCTCTATGCCCCGCCTCTCTCAAACGCTTCGTTTTCTACAAAGCCCCCTCCTTTGACAAGCGCAGTCCGCTCTGATTGGCCAGCTGACCCAGTGCACTGTGATTGGCCGAACACCACAAGCACCTGTCGGAAATGTAACGCCCCTTACCATAATCACGAGCGTCA